AAAAATATACAAAAGTATCAAGAAAAATTTTTTGGTCTCTTTTCTATAATTTTTGAGATTCTTTTTAGTAATTTTTTAATAAACTAACAATCAAAGTTATTATTAATTAACTATAGGGACGATATTACACTATTTTTTAAGATTAAAAGAGGATATTGCACCAAAAATAAATTTAGAGTATAAATACTTTTGGACCTATAGTTTAAAGGTAAATTTATTATTTAACCCTTTAACTAACTTTGTGAAATCCTCAAGTCTTTTTTGTATAACTGATTTATATAAATGTAAGATTTTATTTTGATATTCTTTCAATAATTTTATATTTTAAAAAATAAGTTTGATTGTTAATTTGTGAATATATTTAAACTTAATTTTTAATTATTTATGTATACAGAATAAAAAGAACATGGTTATGGTATATCTTCTAAAAATATAATTTCTTATTCATCTTCATCTATATTTAAATCTTTAAAAATTAAATTATTGTGAAATATTAAAATTTGATGAAATTTCATAAAATTTAATATTCTCATAAGGTTAAGATATTGATTGTTTTTTGTGTAAAGTTTGAAATCTAAAAATACTAGTATTTTTCAATTAAATAATGTTATTTATATTTTCTTATTAAAAATAGTATTAATTAATTTAATGATATTTTTACTTAACTAATCATTTTATTTAATTAGTAAATATTGAGATTTGAAATTCAAATATGTTATCAAAATAAGTTAAAAGTGAAAAACACATCAATCAATTGAAGGTACAAAAAATTATCTCTAAAACATATCTTTGGTAAAATAATTCTCCCAAATTAATCATAACTTTGAGGAGTATTTAAAATTTTGGCATGCTATAATTTGAGTAGGATAAGTTAATAATATTGGTCAATATATTCAACTATTTTGGATTGCCAATATAATGTAGTTAATAATAAAAAGACTTTTAGTTCTTAATAAAAAAAATTATTTAAGTTTAAATTTGGAATTTTAAGCTAGATAAATTAAAATTTTAATATATGATGATTAGAAAAGATTGTCAATTTTAATTTAAATTTTCATCCATGTATATATTATAATAATTAAAAAATAGAATACATTAACTTCTCTTCTAATTTACTTTTATTAAATATACATCCTTTTTATTTTTTAAACATACACGAACCTTTTCTAAAATTAATAATTTTATAACAAAAATCTTCTTTCTATTTTAAAATTTTTATTTCTATTCACCCAATTATTAATTGATTATTAAGTCATATATTAGATCAAAATAGTCTATTTAAATGTAGATGTTATGTAGCAATTATTCAATATATCTAAAAAAAAAGTCTAATGCACATATTTTTTAAACATTTTATTCATATTTTAAACTTTTTAGTTTTGAAAACTTATTTATTTAATTATTTTTTAAAATATAAATACTCAAGTTATCTAAAATAATATTTTAAACATGTATATGCAAAAAGCTTAATGAAATAGGGAAGTAATGCATAATGAGAATAAATTAGTTAGTGTATTTTATGCTTTCTTTTCTTTAAATTTTATTAGTTTGATCACAAAATTTTTAAATTACTTATTTTAAAATTTTCACATTTAATTATTTAAAGTTCCTTAACTTGAGGAGGGGAGAGAATATACAAATACATTACAAGGGTAAATTAATTTTTTTAAGTTTTTAATATAATTAAAATTAAAAAATTAAAGTATTTTAAAATATTTAACTGAATATTCCAAATGGGGCTAAAAATTAGATTAAAATGTAGGTTTTAAAATCAAAAAGAAATTTGTGTAATTTTAGGAAAATGGAGGGAGAAGATTGTATTTTACTCTAATTAAAATAAATGGTATTGACTACCATTTTATTCTAGCTATATATTATACTAATTAAATAAAGAAGATTAATTTAATTAGGTGTTGGAATAAAATGATAAAGATTGGAAGAGAAAGGATTGAATAATTAAACAATAAAAAATTTATAAAATAAAAAATTATAAGCAGGTTAGCTCACAGGTTGGCGAGCTTAGGTTAAATGGTATGAGTCAAAACTACCCAACATCTAATCGAGCTTCAAATTATGCAACCCAACCTGCCACTCTTTGATAAGGTTCGATCCACGAGTACTTATATTACCAGCTCTAATTGAAATCAAAAAAAAATACTACAATCTAATAAGAAAGTCCCAGAGATTACAAGCTTATACTTTCACTTGACGTGTCAGGTTTAGACAAGTAGAAATAAATTAATAAAAAATAAGCTAAATTATAATAGGGTTGCATTATATGATGAATTGATGAGAATGTTTTAGAGCCTAACTTTTGAGAAAAAAGAAGATTTATGATGATGCTGCTGAATTTGATGAAGATTTTTTTTTCCATGTATGGATATGGTGGTGTTAGGAAGACGTATGTTTAAAAGACACTTTCTACTTCATTAAGATCTAAAGGTAAAATAGTTCTCAATACAACATTAAGCGGGATAGCTTATCAGGAGGACATACAACTCACTCAAATTTTGTTTCCTCTTTCTATGATTGAAGACATTATATGCAGCATGAAATATGGGAGCAACTTGGCTAAATTATTTGTTCACATATCATTGATCATATGAGATGAGGCTTTAATGGCACACAAGTTTTGTCTTGAAGTTCTTGACAAATGCCTAAATGATATTTTAAAATTAAGTAGCCTATTAGCTGGTGATCTTTCTTTTGAAGGAAAAGTTGCTATGTTTGATGGAGACCTAAGGTAAATTTGGCCTTCCTGTTATTCTAGGTGGGTCAAGAGAAGACATTATTTTTGTAATCATTAACTTTTTATTTTAAGACAATTGTCAACTTTTGACACTAACAATAGATATGAGACTTCTATAAATAAATAATGGAGTATCTATTAATGCTCTTTAAAATTTTGTTGATTGAATTATCTCAATTGTTGATAGAACAACTGCTTAATATAATCGTTAAGTCTATTGTTAATTCAACTTTCTCAATTTTCCTTGCCAATATATATAATTCTTCATATTTTAAAGATATGACTGTATTAGCTCTTATGTAGGTTGTGACTGAATAAGTGAATAAGTACATGTTACCTTACTTCTTGAGAGAAAGTTGTATACATGAGCTTTGATAGTGTTATAAACATGTTGGAGATATAAATTTACTTAATGACTTGCATTTTGCACATTTTTTAAATTAAATTACAATGTCAAACCTCCTGAATTATGAAATAAATCTTAAAATATGTGTCCCAATTTTAATGTGAACCAAAACATTGAGAAGTTTATGGGTTGTATAATGGTACACGTCTTATGGTTACATGAGCTAGAAATTATTAAAGCTTAATAAATGTCTGGATCAACTATAAAGATGAAAGTATGTATATCAGGTATTGCTATGTATCTATCTGATTTAAGATTATCATTTATTATGAGAAGGAAGTAGTTTCTCATTATGTTAGTCTTTGTTGTTTCCATTGATAAGAGCTAGAATTTGATCCCATGTCATATTAGTTTGCACAAAACTCATCCTGTTTTTATCGATGACCAATTATATGTTATTTCTCATGTTCAAAGCATGGAGAGTTTAAAAATATTAGTTCTTGATGAGGATAGTCACTATAGAGATATAACTTTTAATGTCGTTTATAAAGATGTATTTGATAATTTGATTTAAATAATTATAAAAATTTATTAATTTACCTCCCATCATATCCATTTACACAATATGCAATTAGTTTTTACCATTTTCTTTACTTGAATATGTATATATAATATTAATGATTATAATTATACAACTCCACTGCATATATGATGATATATATGGATAAAATATCTTTTACAAGTTATTTTTTTGAATCTATTTATAAAAACTATAGTATAAAACTCATGCATCGCACAGGTACTTTACTAGTTTGGTTTAAAAGGAGGAGCAGGAAGGAAAATAATTGTATTATAGACAACTATATCCTCATTTTTTATGAATACTTAATAAAATATACACGCATTTGAACGAAAAAAATAAAATAAACATGTAAAGTTTTTAAAAAAATATTGATAAAAACAGAATGTCAGCTAAATTATAATTTTTACTTTTCATCCAAAATTATACATATATATATGTATCATAATTATGTAGTTAATATATATAATTAACTATATAATTGCATGCTAAAAAAACTATTCATTCTTAACATTAAGCTATGACATTAAATATATAATAAAATGAGATTAAAAAAATCCATTCATCTCAATAGAAAATGTGGTGCTCTATGAAACAAAGAAAAATAATTGTTATTGAAACAGATTTTAACATCAAATAAGAAACCACCTTAAAGAAATGCAAGAGTTGCCATAATTTACAGAGAGTTATGATGGGAGTTTCAAAAAGGACAAAATTTTAAAAGACAAGTTGATGCCCAGCTACTATGAACCGAGAGGAATCATGAATAAAAAACTGCGTCATCATCATCAAATTTTTAAAAAATTGAGTGTCTGATATAGTTGAGGAAGCAGACCAAGTTCTCACCAACAGCAATAACGACACCACTCTTTTCCTCCTTAATATGGTGCATTTTTTGACACAAGAAACATGAGAAATATGGATCACGTTTCCAATATGGAATAACTTCATATGCATTATGCCTACAATATCATAACTTCAGCTGCCTAACACAAAACGAATTCGAAAGTGTTTATTTTCTTTTCTATGCTAAATAATTAATTATTCATGATGAAAAAAATGAGCTTTAGAAGAAAGTGTATGTTGAAAATTAGTCTGTAATGTGTATATTTGAGCCTTGTGTATTGGGCTTAGTTAGTGCACGTGTGTATGTAGCAGTGCCACTGAAGCTGGTATTTCTTGTTTCTTTATTCTTGTTTCTTTCTGGATATTTAAAGGCTGGTACAGCACGTTTGTAATCACCCAGCAAAATGAAATAAACTCCAAAAGTTCCAAATGTCAACTTGGTTATTTTTCTGATTCTCTACATGGTACCAGAGCCAGGTCGATAAACCGACCCGATCTACTCCCACCGACCCGGTCCAATCACCCCTTCCTGACCTAACCAGATTCTTTCTTCCAAATCTTGATTCTTCATCCCCTTCATCACCGCATAGCTCCTCTCGAAGTTCTTCAAATCACCGACCCATATATCCAAGCCATCCCTCAAGATCCTTCATGGCAGATTCCGATTATACACGATCCTCCGCTTCTGCCATTGACATGAACCACCCTTTATATCTTCATCCTTCAAACACCCAAGCCGCAACTTTAGTCCCTCAACCACTTATCGGCAGCACCAATTACAGCGTTTGGAGCCATGCCATCCGAATGGCACTTAGAGCAAAAAATAAAATCGGCCTTATCGATGGATCTTGCAAGAAAGAGTTACAAATCGAGGGTTTTCAAGGCCAATGGGAGCAATGCTGTCGTACTATCTTGGTTAATCAACTCGATCTCCAAGGAAATAGCGGCCAGTATAACATTTTCCGAAAGCACTCAAGATGTTTGGAACGACCTCCGCGAACGATTCGACATAACCGACGGAACTAAAGTATATAGCCTTCATCGGTTTATTAATACACTTACCCAGGGAGGTACGAGCGTTTCCAGTTATTTTACTCGATTGAAAGAATTATGGGAAGAATTCTCCACTATCGTCCCTTTGCTCGCCTGCAAATGCCCATCCTCGGTTGAATATGCGAAGCATGTTCAGCAGCAAAAATTATTTCAATTCCTCATGGGCCTTAACGATTCCTACCAATCCATCAAAAGTCAGATTCTCCTCATGAGCCCACTACCCTCGGTCAACCAAGCAGACCCAATTATCTCTCAAGAGGAAGCTCAACGGTCGATCTCATCATTTCCCTTACCAACAGCAGACTACTCTGCTTCCACTACTACTAGAGGTCATGGAAGGATTGGAAGAGGAAGAGGGAGAAACAACTCATCTGAAGAGTGTTCTTATTGCCATCGTAGAGGCCACACAAGGGACAACTGCTTTCATATTATCGGGTTCCCTTCTAATCCTCAAGTAGGCAGGGGATGAGGCAGTGCCTTTAGTTGAGTAAATCATATTGATGGATCAAGTCTCCATAACTCTTCCAAATCACAATCCGAATCCTCATCTGAACGCCAACTTCTATCGCTAAAAGAGTATGAGAAAATAATCGAGAACCTAAAGAAAGAAATTCAGGCCCTCTCAACTAAATCTCTTTCAATGGGAGGAATGACCACCAATGACTCGAGAAGAAACTCAGGTTTGGATTTCTATTCATTCTCTCACATTTCTACACTTAATTCATAACTACACTGGTTATTAGATTCAGGAGCTTCCTGCCATGTTGTGAGTAAACTGTCTTACTTTGACACTTATAATAACTATAATGGACACCCACTTAAAATAAAAATTGCAAATGCTGACAAACTCACTGTCACACACATTGGGAGTATTAGAATATTTGATAATGTTATCTTGCAAGATGTCCTCTATGCACTTGGTATTTGTTATGATTTGATTTCAATTTCTCGGTTAACAAAAGATCAAAATTGTGTCGTTGCTTTTTTCCTAATATGTGTCTGTTATAGGATCTCTTCAGTGGCAGAACCAAGATGATTGGTAGAGTTGAGTTTGGTCTATATTTGGTTAATAATGACTCTACCCCATCATCTAGTATTCATACTAGTAATATCATTTCCAATACAAATATCTGGCACCTCAGATTAGGACATCCCTCAGATCTTGTTCTCAAACATGTAATTCCCTTGCAAGACAAGTTATCATCTATTAATTCATCTGGTTGTGACATTTGTTTTAAAGCAAAACAATCTCGTTTATCTTTTCCTTCTAGTGAAATAAAGACTTCCCACTTCTTTGATTTGCTTCATATCGATGTTTGGGGTCCTTACAAATACCCTACTCATCAAGGTTACAAGTTTTTCCTTACTATAGTTGATGATTTCCCTTGAACCACGTGGACTTATCTTATGCATAACAAATATGAAACATTTTATTATCTAAAGCAGTTTATATGTCTCATATCTAATCAATTCTCAACCAAGATTAAACGAATTCGAACAGACAATGGCATTGAATTTGTAAACCGTGACACTTTTGCATATTTTGTTGAAAATGGAATCATTCATGAAACTTCTTGTACTCACACTCCACAACAAAATGGGGTTGTTGAAAGAAAACACCGACACATATTAGAGGTCTCTCGTAGCCTAATGTTCCAGGCTAACATACCAATTCAGTTTTGGGGGGAAGCCATCAGGACTGTCGTTCATATTATAAATATAATTCCTTCAAAGGTGCTGGATTATAAAACACCATTTGAAATATTGTATAAGAGGCAGCCTGACATCTCAAAAATGAAAGTCTTTGGTTGTTTAGCATATGCTAAGATACCTGGGAAACTAGAAAAGTTTCAACCGAGATTTGTTAGATGTGTTTTCCTAGGATATCCAAACAGTCAAAAGGGGTACATCCTCTATGATATTAAGAGTGATAATATATTTGTAAATCGTGATGTTATTTTCATTGAAAATGAGTTTCCCTTTTCAAATCAGCTGTGTAATGACAATCAACAAGAACAGGTACGCTCACAAGATCCTTTTATATTTGATGATATTCCTAACCCTGTCACCCCCTAAGAAGCACCGATACGGGTACGAGTGTCAGGTACGATACGATACGATACGCGGACACGGCTATTTTTTAAAATTTTAGGATACGGGTACGGCTATATAAATAATTAAATATTAAATATTTGAATGTTTAAAAATACAATTTCAAGATGTTTAATGCCATCATAAAATATAATACAACAAATAGTTAAGTACTTAAATACTATCAAGTGGCAAAAAATAATTATCAACTTAAAATAATTCTAATAAAAATTTTAACATAAAGAGAGTCAATAAAAATTAAAAATAAATCAATGTTTAACTCAATAAAATAATCCATCTAAATAAAAAAAATTTAATAATTCAGTATTAAATTTAAAAAATTGATCAGTTGTTCTGCCTCTCTCGGTTCAGCAGTGAAGAATTGAGCAATAAATATTCATTGTCCAGCAATGCAATAATCCCAATAAATATCCATCAGGCAGCAGCACAACATTGAACAATAAAAAAGTGAAAAGCAGAAGAGATAGAGATGAGGTCAAAGACGCTGAGGCAGAGCTCAGATTGAAGCTGAATGAATTATCAAGATTGAAGCTGAAGACTGAAGACTGAAGAATGATGAGGTCGAAGACGTGAGAGTGAGGCAGCGTGCGAAGTGAGAAGTGAAAACGCGTCTGACTCAGAGCGATACAGCGGTCGACACAAGCAATGAGCGACAGAGCGGAAAACACGAGAAGGGGGTCGATTGGAGCTGAAAATCTTAGGGCATCGGGTTTTTGGAGTTGGGACTGAGTAAAAAGAGGTGAAAAATGCAGAGTTTTGCGTCAGCCCGCGTCCGACCCTCGTCAACCCGTCTCGACCCGCATCTGCCCGCGTCCGCCAGAAACTTGGAAAAGGGACGCGCCGTTCCCCCGTCCTGAACGCGTGTCTGTGTCGGATACGTATCCGATACGGACACGCCGGCCATTTTCGCATATCGGTGCTTCTGAGGTCACCCCATCTAATAGTATGTTACGCCCAAATAATGAGCATTTGTTTGAAACTTACAACAGTGACAGCATACCAAATAGCAATACTAATTTAAATAATGATACAAGAGGTAGCTCAGATAGTCACAGACCTGTCAGACATAGAAAGGCTCCCAGTTGGCTTAGAGATTATGACTGTTCTGATACAGATTTTATCAATAAAATAGACAAGAAAGGAAATAGAAAAATACTATATCCTATGCAACACAGTGTTAATTATGCAAATATTTCTGACTCATATAAGGAATTCATAGCTGTAATAGATGATATTAGTGAACCTAATACTTTTGAGGAAGCAATTAAAGATGAGAGGTGGATTAAGGCAATGCAAGATGAGATAAGCGCTTTAGAAAATAATAAGACATGGGAAATAGTTGACTTACCTCTAGGAAAGAAACCCATAGGTTGTAAGTGGGTTTACAAAAAGAAGTATAATGCAGATGGGACATTAAATAAACTAAAATCTAGGTTAGTGGCTAAAGGCTTTAGCCAAAGGGAAGGAATAGATTACACTGAAACTTTTTCTCCTGTTGTCAAGATGACAACTGTACGTTCAGTTCTAGTACTTGCTACACATCATAATTGGAATATAACTCAAATGGATGTTGACAATGCTTTTCTTCAAGGAGACTTAGATGAGGAAGTCTATATGAAGATTCCAAATAGGGAGAGAAAAGGGTTTGTAGATTAGCTAAATCACTTTATGGCTTAAAACAGGCAGCTAGGCAATGGAATATAAAACTCTGTGAAGCTTTAATTTCTGGAGGTTTTATTCAAAGCAAATATGATTATTCATTGTTTACTAAGCAAGATGCAGATGAGTTTATTATTGTTTTGGCTTATGTTGATGATCTGGTAATAACTGGAAATAGCCAAGAAGGGATAAATAAAACTAAAGATTTTATGCACACTAATTTTAAAATGAAGGATTTGGGCTTACTAAAATATTTCCTTGGCATTGAGGTTGCTAAGTCTAGTAAAGGATTAGTACTTAATCAGAGAAAATATGCACTAGACTTGATAGTTGCCACAGGTTTAGTAGCCTCAAGACCAAGAAATGTTCCAATAAATCCAGGTTTAAAGCTTTATAGTGAACCTAAAAAGGGGGAGAAAGATGATTTATTAGCTGATCCCACGAGGTATAGGTGCTTAATAGGAAAACTGCTGTATTTGACTAACACAAGACCTGATATTAGCTACGCAGTTCAGTTACTGAGTCAGTTTATGAGCAGTCATAGAAAATCACATCTTAAAGCAGCATTAAATACTGTAAAGTATCTTAAAAAGGATCCTGGCAGAGGTATTCTATTTCCCTCATCAGAAAATATGGTGCTGGAAGGATTTTATGATTCAGATTGGGCCTTATGTCCAGAATCACGTAAGTCTATAATAGGTTACTTAGTCAAATTAGGTCGAGCCATTATTTCTTGGAAATCTAAAAAGCAAACTACTGTCTCAAGGTCATCTGCTGAAGTAGAATATAGGGCTATGGGTAGTGTTGTTTCTGAAGTTATATGGCTCACTGGTTTACTTAAAAATTTACATGTTTATGATTTAACACCTGTATGCATTCATTGTGACAGTAAAGCTGCAATTCAAATTGCCTCTAACCCTGTTTACCATGAAAGAAGAAAGCATATTGAGATCGATTGTCATTTTGTGCGAGAAAAACTTCAAAATGGATTAATTAGCTTGAATCATGTGATGACTGGAGACTAGCAAGCAGACATCTTAACCAAAGCTCTTGGTCGAAAGGCACATGAGCGCATGATCAGCAAGTTAGGTTTCTTCAATCTATTCAGAACTAACTTGAGGGGGAGTGTTGAAAATTAGTCTGTAATGTGTATATTTGGGCCTTGTGTATTGGGCTCAGTTAGTGCATGTGTGTATGTAGCAGTGCCACTGAAGCTGGTATTTCTTGTTTCTTTATTCTTGTTTCTTTCTGGATATTTAAAGGCTGGTACAGCACGTTTGTAATCACCCAACAAAATGAAATAAACTCCAAAAGTTCCAAATGTCAACTTGGTTATTTTTCTGATTCTCTACAATGTATGCTTACATATCATCAAAGGTTGGTTTCTAGACTCATGACTCACGATTGCAATTTTGAACTGCCAACCTCACATATTTGTATATTCCAAAATACCAAATTTATTCATAAAACATTAAAAATGGTGGCCATTGATAGCACTGATTTAAACTGAAAAAGCATCGTCAATCAAGCCTTGTGCACTTTCAATTGATGTTCACCAAACAGTGCTTTCCGAATGATGCAAAACATGAATCATCCAAGCCAATGCAAACAATGAGGGACAAAGTCGGGAATAGGAAGAATCAGAGCCAGCAATATCATAGGTTCTAATAATCTGAGCATAGAGGGATTTCATAGGTTCTAATCAAATGGAGACGAGAAAAATCAGAAGACCTAACAGAGAAAAATGACCTAACTGTGGACAGTGACGATGACAGCGAACTGAGCTGCAGGTCAGTTTAAACTCTGGCGTGATAGGAACAGTATGGAGTTGTGGTGTTCAACAGTTCAAGCATGGGTTTATTTGGGAATGGAATATTATAATATAAATAAAGTTTCACTTTTAAATATTAAAAGATAAATTATAAATATATAGTCTTAAGAAATATCTAACTAAACCATATTAGATTTTTTATGTTAAGTATACTTAAGGATAGTACAATCCACCAAAATAACTTAAGCCATTTAGTTAAATACTTTTTAAGTTTATATATTTATAATCTATCTTCTAATGTTTAGACATGAGACTTTATTTATGCCCTAATATTCTTTCTATTACTTTTTTTTCTTTGTTTTTTTTTCAATTGTCTTTTTATTTTTGCCTAGGCTTGTACTTTTTTTTAATTTTAAAGGGCTCGATCTATTCAATTTTTTTTCCTTCTCCTTCTCCTTTTTTAATCTTCTTGTTTTTTTTATCTTTCAGTCTTTCATTTTTTTTCATTTTTGTTTGTTTGTTTTGTCCCCAATCAAATAGTTATGATACTATGTTAAATTTTTTATATTAAGTATGTTTAATATTAGTATACTTTATCAAAATAGCTTAAGCTATTTGATTAGATACTTCTTAAACTCATATATTGATAATCTATTTTCTAATTTTTAAATATGAAACTTTATTTATGATCTAATATGTACGAAATATTCATAGTATAATATATAATATAGGTATGTTAGTCACAATACATCAAATTAATACCTCTAAGCCCCTCAACTCTCATTTTAGAGGTGAGGGAAGAACGATGAACTCTTCCATTTTTACTATCCAAATACTTCCTCCCTTTCAAACCAAACAGGCGGTAAAAGACTTGTATTCCTATATTTTATGGGTCGTTGTGGGGTGAAATCAAAAACTTGTTTAATGAAAAAAAATATAAAGTAAAAAAAAGTAAAAGGCATTGAGAATGAAACATATTTAACTTAAAATTGGAAAATAATAAGCAATGGTAAAATTTATTATTTAACAATAACAATGATATTAAGAAACATTACAATTACAAATAAATAAAATAAATAAGCTCTATCAAATGGGCTAAATTTTTTATATGATTGTTTAATATTTGATACTGGAAGGTTACATTTGAGCATTTGTATCATATTAGAATAAGGCCTTTTTATTAGAGAAGGGTTAAAAAAACAGTGTTTCTTACTTGTTGGGCTTTTGGGCCCCAAAAAGTTGGGTTTGTTAATTTTGCACATTTTTTTTAAAAAATAATAATCAAAGACCTCTAAATATATTTTATAGCATAAAAGGACTAAAAGAATTTGAATTCTCACGGACCAGGCACTAAAATGTAAACAAGTTTAAATATGAAACGATAATAATACCTCTGATTTTTTTTTTAAAAAGTCAAATCATAATAGGTGGTGCCAGTTGCCAAAGACCCTACTGTGGGCATTACTAGAAACTTGGCTCGAGCAACAATTTTAATGGGTTATTGGTTAAAAGTGATTAAGGGAGGTTTGATCTCACAACCTTTTACCCACCTAAAAAGCTTAGGTAGCCAACTCGCATACAATAACCCAAATTTCTAAATCACTTACATGTTATCTTATAATGATGTATTGTTAATTTTTAAATAGCACTTGTTATTTTACTAGTATTACTTGTTAATTTAACATAATCAATTATAAATAACAGCTTTAAAATTTCATATATTTGACGAATTTTTATTTGTTAATTGACATTTAAATGTCATTAAAATAACATGTTTATATAGGTAATAAATTTTGTTTTTAAACCACTTGTTTCTAACAACATGGGTCACTTGTTAATTCTTGAACAACACTTATTATTTTAGAATTATTATTTGGTAATATAGTATGATCAATTACAAATTAAAAGTTTTAAAATTTTATATATTTTACAAGATCTCATTTCCAAATTGAAGTTTAAATATCATTAAAGTAACAAATTTATATAGGTAATAAATTTAGTTTTCAAATCACTTATTTCTTATAACATAATATTGACTTGTTAATTTTTGAACATAACTTGTTATTTCAAAATTATTACTTATTAATTTGACATGGTTAATCACAAATAAGGATATTTAAAAATTTATGTATTTTACATATTCTCATTTTGTCATATTAACAAGTAAATTTAGTAAAATAATAAGTGCTGTTTAAAAATTAATAAGTAATTGTTATGTTATAAGAAACAAGTAGTTTGAAAACTAAATTTATTACTTATATGAATATGTTATTTTGCAAATTTTCATTTTATCATATTAATAAGTAAAGTTTGTAAAATAATAAGTGTGGTTCAAAAATTAAGTTAATTGAAATGATTTTACCAACCATATTATATTATTTTTATATTTTTATATGAGATCTGGATGTAAGTTTTTCAATAAATAAGGATAGGCAAGTTGCTCAAACCAATTAAGAATAAATAAATAAAAAAGGCGAGAGGAAGATTAAATGATGACAACATGGTAATGAATAGTACTATATAATTGAAATTACGTTTGATTGCATTTCTTTAACTAAACATTAGTACACCGCCTTGGCAAGTTTCAGAGAGATAAATCACGTCATAATCATGGACGACTCCTAATGGATAAAGAGACATGTGGGTGGGACATGAGAATATGGATAGGGATCAACTATTCAATCGCACGTCATCATATGAATAATAATTGCAGCAATCATAATTTATATTTTGGAAAGTGTCTTCTTCCCTTTTGAAGTTGTTCTGACCATGGTATTGAAATTCAAATTGGACTGATTGGGTCAATTCAAAAATTAATGACCCGATCCCTTATTCAGTTTGGGTTTACTCCTAAATCGGTTAGGAAATGAACTGATGTAACCCAATCAACCCAGGTTCAACCTAGTGGGTTGACTGGGTTAACCAGGTTATTTTTTTTAGATTTTTTTTATTTTTAATTTTTCAGAGTGCTGACTTCAAAAATAAGATAACAAAAAAAAAGTGAAACTAAAGTCAAAAAATGAAAAATTAGAGGTAGAGCACGCTAAGTCCAATCCAAATTTTCAGATAGCATTTAGTTTGATCTTTCATCTGTGTCTCTCCTCTCTTGCCCTAATCTAATCAGCGTCTTTTCTCTAACTTAGTTTTCGTCTCTTCTCCAGGCTCCAGCTCTATCTCCGTCTCTTCTCCAACTCTATCTCTGTCTCTGCTATTTCTATCTCTTCTCTAGCTTAGTCTCTGACTCTCCGTCTCTTTTCCAGCTCAATCTCCGTCTCTTCTCCAGCTCTATCTCCATATCTTCTCTAGACTTTTGAGATTGAAGAGTTGTAATTGTAATGATAGATATTTAAAGTGTTGTATTTTATTATTGTTAGACTTTTGAATGGTTGGATTTGGTTGAATGTTTTTATAATTAATGTCTTTTTATTTAAATTGTATTATTTTAATCATGACCGGTTTGCCACCGGTTCAACCCCCAGTTTAATTTTAATTGAACCACTAACCCGTAACCCAGTGCCATGACCGGTCTGGTTTTACGTACCTTGGTTCTGACCGTTTAATTGAGCTATTGACCATTTTATATTAATATCAAAATTGCAGATTTGATTTAGCTTGATCATGATGCGGGATCATCAATACATTGTAAAAAGTGTCAGTTGTTTGAAACACGTTTATAGAGAAACAAATTATTGTATTGATCTTCTAACTTAGAAGGTCTCTAGGAAATATTTTGATATTACTTTGTTTGACGATGCTCCAATAGATTGTAGAAGCATTTTGTCTTCTGACATGACCTAACCTTGATCTTTTTGCATAATATTTTTACCATGGTTTTGCATTAAAATGTCAGTTGAAAATTATTAGGTTGGACTGACCATGCCTAAGGTAATTGATTGCAAGCTGTTACTCCCTCCATTATATATATATATATATATATAAATAAATAATTATATCACATAATTTAAAAAAAATAGTTAATTACATTGATTATGTTTGAAAATAAAAAAAATTAACTAAAATATCTTGTGTTAATTAACATAAGCATATATTAATTATTTTTTTATTAATATTAATTATGAGAGATAATTTACAAAATATGTAATAAATGTTTATTGGGATATGTGATCTTGCTTATAAAAAAAAAGAAAAAAATTTAATATATACTTAACCTTATGTATTTAAGATGCTTGTTTTCAATAATCAAGACATGTGTATCTATTATAAATTATTTATTCTATAATAAATTCTTGTTATTAATATTATTAACATATTAAAATTCATATATCTTGATTTGATTGGGTGAAAATATAGTAAGTATATAAGTCTTGCCCAAAAAAAAAATTTAAAAGTAACAGTTTCTTTAACAAAAAAAATGGATGGAATAGTTTATAATTCTCTAATTTTAATTATAAGTTATTTTTTAATATATTTTATCAAACTCAATAAAAACTTTAAAATCATTAACTCCATCTAAAAATTTTAAAAGCTCTCAACTCTACCCCTATTAAATATATATATATATATATATACATACATTTTGACAACATTTTCTCTTT